AATGCAAAAATAAAATAAATAAAAATTTTATTTTTACCTAATAAATCGGGCGTTACTTTTGGTGACTACTGTACGTATTACGAAATTGTTGATTAAAATAATTCCATATTACTGTATTAGGTGATCCGATATAGTGAATGTCAATTGGTAATTATAATAAAGGGAAAACCTGTAAATTATTACGTACTAATTATTAATTTACTACGTAGGACAGAAACCGGTCAAAATAGTAAACTTGTATAATTATTTTATTTTTTTTACAAAAATACAAATAGTGACACATAACTTAATCAGAAAATGCTAAACCTACTTTTGGATATTATAAATGCATCAAAATTAAAGTTGCTGGTGTCACCAGTTTCACCAGAAACTCTAATCAAATTCGTAATTTTAGCATAGAAATATGATAAGTGCCGTTGATTTCATGAAATAAATCTCTAAACTACAGAGCTAGGGATGGTTATAACGAGTGAATGAAATTTTTTTATTTTTTTTGCAGCATTGTATTACAAAGTATATCAAAAATTTAAATATGGTCAAACCTAAGTACAACTTGCATTTATGAATGTAAATCTTTATAATATGTACATATATAGTAGAGCCACAACAAGATCGTGAATTTAAGGAGGTATTGCATTTAGGAAACTTGCATTTAGGAAGGGTTGATTATAATATTAAACAAAGTGAGTAATATATCTATACAGGGTGTCCCAGAAGTTCCTATACACGGTCCCTATTTTTTATGTAACCTTATATATAGAAATCACGATAATTATTTATGCAAATATGTAAATAATCATAATGAACTCTATATAATATATAGAGATCATTATGATTATTTATATATTTACGTAAATAACTATCGCGATTTCTATTGATCTCTAGTATAAGATTACATAAAAAGTGGGGACCGTGTATAGGAACTTTTGGAACACCCTGTATATGTATTTATTTAATCTATTTCGTGTGATACTAACATTCTATTTATATTTTACGCAGAAAATGAGATTTTATACAAGAGAATCTTCTAAACTTTGCGCGCTTGTGTTAAACACAAATGACTACACGTTAAACTTGCGTTCTACATAACGGATTTGTGCGAAAATTGATAACATTGATTATTTTAACGCCATATATAAAATATCTTTCTACAATAATAAAATCATAAAAAATAATGAAAGAAAAAAGGCAATTCATTGAAGAAGATAGTTCATTGAAGAATATAATTTTGTGCGGCCTAAATACAAAAACACATAACGGAAGAACGAAGAAAACTCCGAATCTCTAACTATAAAAATCCCTCGTATTCGATCTTTCAATTCCCTCACTTCACGTTGTATTAACGCTTGAGTCTTAAGCCTTTTCTATTGCTCACCATCACATTTACATTTTAAAAAAATTTTCAATAATGTCTTTAAAATTTTATATTGTTTTCGCTTTTATCGTTCTCATGGCGTTATCAACCTGGTCTGCACCTGTTGCTGAAGATGGTGCTGGTGGTTTAGTGGAGAATAAGCCTCACAAACGGGATACCAGTCCTGAATTATCAGGCGCTTTTCACTTGATGGCTGAACTCAAGGCAAAACGTGAAGTTAATGAAGAACCTTCTAAACGTGAAGTTAATGAAGAACCTTCTAAACGCGAAACTGAAGGACCCCATCTCTCTAAACGAGCTCTCATCTATCGTGGTGGCGTGTACAATGAAAACTCCTGCTGTTATGCTCACTGCGGTTCTTATAGATACTGCGCATATTGCGGCTATACATACGCTTTGTCTACAAATTATTGTGCATGCTTCAATTCTTAAATATAATTAAAAATGTAATCAATTTATATTTTTAGTTTTTGTGCTTCAATTATCAATGTTAATTTTTGTCACTTCAAAAATGATGTCAGATTATATTTTTATTTTATGTTTTCAATTATTAATGTTAATTTTTATCACCTCGAAAATGGTGTCAAATTATGAGATCTTTTTGTTCAAATATCCTTTATTATTTTAATGAAAAATTATAATAAAGTGGTATGAGATCTTTTTGTTCAAATGTCCTTTATTATTTTAATGAAAATTATAATAAAGTGGAATTTATTTAAACCTCATTTTTTTAACGGTGTTATTACGAATAGTTGTGGTGTATGATTGAGTAAAGTAGTGGTGTAGACTACAAAATTTGCATTTGAGTATACAAAACTATCATACTATACTTATAAGTTCTACAAAAGTTTATTTACTGTTATAATAAAAATAGATCAAATACGTATTGCGTATGGGTCAGTAACAAAGAGTTCAACAAAAATCAAGATTTTTACATGATTGTGTGTACTATCTTCTATATTGTTTTTTGCGGGATTGTACATAAAAATCAAGATTTTATGGAATTGTATGTACATATGTTCATTGAATATTTTTTTATATTACATAAGCTTATATTTAATGTTAACAAAATAATTTACTTTATTCAATCGACCTGAGATTTTTTTTTATATATAATTACACGTGTTTTTCAAGTTTGTTTTTTTTTTCGAGAATAGTTTTTGGACAGTTGAAATCACACAGTCAAAATTGTTTGACATGGCAATTATAGTTGTTAAGAAGACCTAGAGGTTTCGTACCGGTGAAGTTGAAACCCTAAATTCGATTTGGAAACTGCGAAATGTGGTGAAACCGAAAAAATGTGACAAAACTAGAAATTGGCAAATCAATAAAAATGAAGAAAGGCAAATCAATAAAAATGAAGAAAGGCAAATCAATAAAAATGAAATTGGCA